CTCACGGTGGTGCCATGGAGTTCTATAGCCCGCTATTGGCCCCGCAAACCATGCGAATAGTGCCGGCGGCACCAGGCACAGCGAGCCTCAGAAATCGCCCGACGAGACCGAACCAGGGTCGCACGGTTCCAACAATTGGTCGAACCACGCGACCGACCGCGAAGGCAAAACTAGAAAAGATGGTGATTTCCGTTCCCGGGTTTTGGAGCTTAGTCCCTCGGCAGGAGCAAGGTTGCTAGGATTTTGTTCGAGAATGCAAGAGTGTTTAGATTTGTCGATGCTGTGATTGCGGAAGAGTACCCCGGAATCTTTAGCCTGTTATGCACTGCGCTTGCCATCTGCCTTATGCTGCATGACATCTGCGGCCTCTCTTCTGTGCACACACCACGAGAGGTGGACTGCCTTCGTCCTTATAAAAATAAAAGTGCCGAGTATGACCTGAACGTACCCTCTTGCTGTCTCTTATACACATCTAGATGTGTATAAGAGACAGGACTTCGATCTTATAAAAATTAAAGCGCCAAGTACGACCTGCACATACCCTTTTGCGGTTTTACCCCCAAAACTTGCCACAGGAGATCTCAGGTCCGACGTGGGACTCCACCCCCACTTTCCTAAAATTCTTGGCACACCTTTTTTCGCACTTTCGGGCCCCCATCCCACTCCGATCAGAAAGTAGCGCCGGGAGTGAGGTTGGGCGTCACCATCCCAGGGGGGGTCAACCGACAATTCGGATGGTAAAAAAAACGGGGCAATTTTTTTTTTTTCTATTTTTTGCGGTATTGGACTGCGCTTGCTGAGATCTGTCCGATTCAGCAATAAAACTTGGACTGTTGAAGATTTTTTTGAGGGGTGTGTCAGGGTGGGGGGTGTGGGGGGGGTCGAGGTCGAGAGTGGTAAGGGCGGTGTTGTGACGCCCAACCTCACGCCCAACGCGACTTCCTGTTCGGAGTGGGATGGGGGCCCGAAAGTGAGAAAAAGTGGTGTGCCAAGGATTTTTGGAAATTGAAGTGGAGTCCCAGGTCAGAACTGAGATCTCCGGTGGCAAGCTTACGGGTAATTAAGCAAGTGGTAATCCCGAGTTATATTGGACTTCGGGAGACCGGGCTACCTCCGGTGTGAGTGTCGTCGTCACGGTCGGTCCCGCATCTGATGGACCTTCGGGACGCTGTGTGTGTCGCGCTGGGCGGTCAGCCGCTGGCACCGCTCGTGGCAGACTTCGGAATCCGACGAGGCTGGTCTCAGTCGAAGGTTGTGAGATCGCTGGTCCGCCTCAGTTCGGGTTTGGCGAAAAAATCCCGCCATGCGGTAATCGTGGTCTTGCTAACACTCTGAGCACAGGGTCCGTGGCCAGTGAGGGCCGATCGCGCCCCAAGGGATCACCGTAAGGCAGTGAAAGGGGATTACGAGGCGGTAGGGAGGGTAATTAGTCTCGACGATGGCTATTCCAGGTTCAGCGATTACGTTGCGTGTTACGTGTATGCGAGTGGGGAAAATGGGGCAAAGAGGGAATCGCACTTGAGGCCCGTTCAATGTTCCACTCGCATACGCGCTCCGTTCCAGTGGGGTAAGAAAATTCCCGAAATGGGGCCCGGGGTCGCGCAGCTTGATACGCACGCTCCCGTTCTCAATATTCTCGGAATCGTTGATGCCTCAAACTCTCGCGATCCGTGACGTAAAAGGGGATCTCAACGTCCATACCGACGGCGAAGGGTTGATTCCATCATAGGCTTCCGCGAGTGGGTCACGTGTATCCGCGTGTAAGCCGCGTCCTCGCGGTCGCACTTACGCGGGGGCTCTCGAGATCGCGCCTGCGGTCGACGGAAATGCTTCTGATGTCCTCGGTGGTCCTTTAAAAGTCCAACATGCGATTATCTAATCCAAGTAAAAACCCGTGTCATGCATAGCAGAACGCAACCACTCACCAACCCAAACATCTTTGCTTTCGACATAGTCATATCCCATTCATTCATATGAACAAGAAATCAAATGGCAATCTCACAACTCTTCCCCGGCGCACAGCACAATCATTCAGTGATGCGTTCGTCGGATCCTCATACATACATGCATTCATTCATGCAAGGATGAGGCGCAGATTGACACGTACATCCCACAACTCGAGACGTTTTAATTCCCAACCATCGACAGACATCAAAGAGGAGTAGGGAGAGTGGATCAGCACAAAAAGGAAATAGATTGGAGATGAAAACGATGGCGTTTCGCCTGAGACCAAAATTTTTGTACAAAGGACAGAAGAAGGAAGGTTGCAATCTCACACCTGTCTGTTCCCCACACTCTCTCTCGCTTTCTCTCTCCGATGCGGACAGTCCGTCGTCTCGCGTCACTCACGGAGTCGTCAACCTGCTTGGTCCGTGTATGCAAGCCAGGTTCGCCCGTGCGCCACAGTCCGTCGCGGCCCTCACATCAACCCCGCATACTCGGCACCTGCTCGTCGGGTCGCCCAACTCCCATATCAACGCACCTCATCACTTACACGTTAGCCGACCCTCAATGATCGCGCTAACCCTTGGAGTTTACCGAAGTTTTAGTGAGAGCTTTAACAGTGCTAGCAAGATTTATAGCATGCATACATGCGCATCAGATACGGGATTGTCTATTTGAGGAGGGGAGGAGAAAGGAAGTGCCTACGTTCTGCATGGCCAGGCCGCGGCGTGGGGGACATAGCCACTCTCCACGCATCGATCTGAGCATGCAACGTCTTGGCCAATCAGCTATGAATCCCCCTAGGCGGCGGACAACTGCGGCCAAGTCCGCGGCCACGGCCAGGCCGCGAAGCCCGCTGACGTGTCCGCGCGGACGCACGACTTTGCGGACACGTGGCGTCCAGTACGGAGGGGGGTTGGGGAAATGGGAAGCGTATTGGGGAGGCGCAACCCCGGCCCCACCTCCTCAAACAAACAAACATGAAAAAAAACAAAGTTTTGGTTGTGGGGGGTTGGTTGTATCGCGGCGGAAATTGTAAAAAAAAAAAGAACGCGTTTTTTTTTTTTTTTTTTTGATTGATTGATTGATTGATTGGTGGGGGTGGGATCAACGGAAAAAAAACTCGGGGGATAGCAGGGTTTGAGCAACGTTAGGGTCGTTGGAGCAACATTTAAAAACACGTTCTTGCCACTGGCAACATCGCATGGTTTGAGCAACAGTTGGCCAACATTGTTGTCCAAACTTCAACGTTTCTCACCCCGTACCGTAACGTTGGGACAACGTTCTACAATATTCGTGGAATGATCATTTATTGTTGGGGGGGGG